CTCCCCGCCGTGCTCCCCACACCGGCACCCCAGCACCCTCCCACGGAAGCACAGTTGCGGCCAGCACAGCATTCCCAGCAGGTCGCCCAGCCCCAGCAGCAGCCCCCCCAGCCCCGAGGGCTGCCTCTTTGAGTCCTCAGACCTGGCTGATGAGGAGGTTTGCCACATCAACAGCTCGGCCAAGGACTGGGGAGGGGAGCACTCGGACGCTGGGCCTTCGTCTCCCCAGCCCCATCTCCTGTGCCCCTCAAGAACTGCAGCACAAGCAGCCTCTCCAGGGGCAGCAGCAGCAAGGAGAAGGACTTGAAGAAGTTTTACAGCATCGACACAAAGGGCTTCCTCAACAAGCCCAGCTGGGCAGATGACCAAAGGCGGCACTCCATCGAGATCTGCCCCTCCATCAGCGATGGGAACTGTAGCTTCGGTAGCTTCGAGGACCCTGCCGAGGAAAAGCAGCACTCCCCTGCCCACATCCAGATGGAGTCAGAGCACATCCACGGAGCCCGGAGGAAGAAGAAGATGAGCCCGCCCTGCATTTCTATAGATCCTCCCATGGAGGATGACAGTGGGGCGGCCTCACGCACCAAACCCTCTGAGAACAGCATGCTGCGGAGAAGGACCCCGTCCTGCGAGTTCCCGGCTTACAGAGAGTCCCTGGAGCTCGCAGAGAGCCAGCCCGGGGAGGTGGCCTCCAAAGCAGAGCGCCGGGGGCAGCCCCCGTGCCGTGGGGAGCATCTGACCATCCCCAACTTCTCCTTCGAGCAGTTGGATGGCAGCTCCTTGAGCAGCCTCTCGGATCTGGACTCCCGGGCGGACCTCGCTGCTTCCGAACTGAAAAAGCCGGATCACTTAAAAACTCAGTGGAGCAACGCTGAGAAAAGCAAAGAGCTCCTGGGCATTGCTAAGAGCCCTCTCCGGAAGCAGGACTTGGTCCCTGTGACTGTTGCAACAGAAGAAGACATAGATGACCCAGTATAGCTTTCTGGGAGGGGGGAGCTGGGGGGGTCGCAAGGGCTTGACACCAATGTGGGGTTCCAAAGTGAAGGGACGGAGCGGCCGCAGTAGGCAGTAGGTCGGGGGCTGCTCGCTCGGGTTCTCTCCTTTCTCACAGTCACTTAAGCACTGTGGAGGGTTGCAAAAAATAACACACACAGAGGAAAAAAAGAGGAAAAACAGTG